TTCTAATCCTTTGTTGTTTTTTTTCCCGGGAGCGTCGGCAGGCATGGAGCCCCTCAGCTCCCAGTGGCTGGAGTTCGCTGTTCCCAGCAAAAGGGAGCTGCGGGAAGTGGCACCACTTCCCGCAGCTCCCATTGGCTGGGAACGGCGAACCGCAGCCACTGGGAGCTGAGGGGCTCCATGCCTGCAGACGCTCCAGGTAAACAAAACAACAATGTATTAGATATTCAATTAAATGATTCCATAGAGTTTAAAATCATCAAATTTTGGTATAGACCCGTTTATAAGCCGACACCTGCTCTTTGATGAGTCACTCTTTTACCAAAAATATTCGGTTTATGAATGAGTATATACGGTAAGTCCAAAGCAGACTGCAAAAAGTTACCAAGGGACCTCACAAAGCTGGGTGACTGGGCAACAAAATGGCAGATGAAATTCAGTGTTGATATTTGCAGAGTAATGCACATTGGAAAACATAATCCCATCTATACATAAAAATGATGGGGTTAAATTACTGTTACCACTAAAGAAAGATCTTGGAGATACTGTGGATAGTTCTCTGAAAACATCCACCGAATGTGCAGTGGCAGTCAAAAAAACCTAACAGAATGTTAGGAACCATTAGGAACGGGATAAATAAAAAGACATAAAATATCAATGCTATTACATAAATCCATGGTATGCCCACACTTTGAATACAGCACACAGTTCTGGTTGACCCATCTCAAAAATATATATTAGAATTGGAAAAGGTACAAAGAAGGGCAACAAAAATTATTAAGGATATGAAACAGCTTCCATACGAGGAAAGATTAAAAAGACTGGGACTTTTCAGCTTGGAAAAAGAGACTAGTAAAGGGGATATGATAGAGATCTATCAAAACATGAATGGTGTGAAAAAAAAATGAATAAGGAAGTGTTATTTACTCCTTCACATAACACAAAGACCAGGCATCACCCAATGAAATTAAAAGGCAGCAGGTTTAAAATTAACAAAATAAAGTAC